ATGTCAACAGCAGCCCACAGAGAGTAGCCGAACAGCCAACAGCCAACAGCCAACAGGCAACAGCAAAAAGGACGCACACGAACCACCAAATCCACTTCATGACCGCAAATTAGTTTTTAACCCACAAAATAATCCCGAATGACATGAGATGAGTCCACCATTCAGCACCAAAACAAAAAAGAAAGTAAAGCGGAATACTACAACATACATTTTACAGTTGCCAGCTACGTCTTCTCCTGCTGCTCCTGCTGTTGCTCCCGTACTATTTCCTCATCGTCCGTGTCTACTCGCCACAGTCGCTTGGCGGAAGTTGTAAAGCTGCCATTTCTTGGCCATGTTGTTGTTGTTGTTGTTGTTGATGTTACTATTGCTGTTGCTGTTGCTGTTGCTGTTGCCACTGCCAGCGGTTGGTCGGACAGCCCAACTCCGTGTCGGACTCTTTTAGCTTACGGCCAATGTGAAGCTCCAGCAATTCGCGAGCTCGTAATGCGGTCGTTTTACAGCATTGTTGTCGTTGTTGTTGTTATCGTTGTTGCTGCCTCTGCTGCTGATGTTGTCGTTGTTATTGGCCCCGTTGAGTGTTATTGCTGTTGTTGTTGTTTTTCTTGTGAGGCGCATTTGTTGTATGAACTTTTTCCAAGTGACGTGAATGGCACCGGCCAGTGCACGGCCAGGCAGCAGCGGGCCCACCAATGCAGCCCGCCTCGTCCCGCTGCTGGGAATGTTGCCATAATTTATTAAAGCCTGCACCAGAGTGCTCTCGAGTCGAGCGGCCCTGGGCCCACGGCCCATGCCACACAATTGAAATTTAAGCAGCAGCGGGAGCTAAGTTGCAGAAAATGTGAAACATTGGCAGAGCCTTTCAGCTCCTTCCGAAGTTCGATCGCTAACCGGCAGACGGCAGACGGCAGACGGCAGCCGGCAGCCGGAGCCGGCAAAATGGTAATCGAAATATGCGCCAGGCCAAGGAAACGCAGCAAAGAGTCAGGCCAAGGGACAGCCGGTAGTGAATGTATTGCCTACTACTTTCTATATTGTCCCCGCCTCTCTCCCTCTCCTCTCTCTCTCTCTCTCTCTCTCTCTCTCTCTCTCTCTGCCGCACACACATTGTGCATTGAAAAGTTTGGAAAAGTTTTTGGCCAGGAAAATAATTCATGAAACATGGCGGCAACATGCGAACGCGAAACGCGAATGTGAAACGCCAAATACGAAATGCGAAATGGGAACGCGAACTCGAAATTTTTGTGCCCAATCCGAATCTGATTGTGACAGAAACGAATTGTTCTGGTTGCTGCTCCTGGCCGCTGCTCCTCCTGTCCTTCGAGGAGGAGGCGTAGGCGTCCTCTGCTGCCATATTTATGTACCTATTTCTTCTTCTGTTTTTTTCTCTGGTTTTCTATGTAGCCGTAGCAGCCGTAGAGTGTCTGCTGCCTGCCCCCGCAGTTGGCATGTAAATTTATGGGGTGTCCCGAAACAATTGTTATTGTGTGTTTTCAACTTTTGCTTGATTTGTGTTTTTAAGTGATTTCGAATGGGTCGCATGGGGCTCGGTAATCGGGCCGTCGGCGACTATTTGTTTGTGTGTGTGTGTGTCTGTGTGGGTGAGTGGTTGGCCAGCCATTCAACTAGCTGGCGTTGATAATTTCTAGGCTGTCATCGGGACAGCCCGTGCAGTCCAGATGCAGAACTACTTCTGCTAAGCGACGAATAACCATAAAACACTTTACATAACAGAGAGAGAGAAAGACAGAGAGAGAGAGAGAGAGACAGACAGAGAGAGAGAGAGAGAGAGAGAGAGAGGAAGAGTTAGTGGGAGACTACCCGCATACGTAGCGCAATTCTTGCAAGTCGAAAGTTGCAAGTTGCAAGTCGCAAGTTGCCGCAATTTTCGTTCAGCACTTTATTTATTTGTATTTCCGCAAACAATTCGAGTGCCGCGACTGCCACAAAACTTTTGACTGTGCGGCATTTGGCACTGTTGGTGACGGTGGTGGTGGAGACAGTGGTGTTGGTGGTGCAGCCGTAAAAAGCAAGTGCAACTGCCACTACCGTTGCCACTGACTGCTACAGTTAGCAGCCATTGTTATTCTTCCAGCTACCGCTGGCAGTAGGCCACTTCCTGCAAACGGGTGTTGCCTCAGTGTTGCCGTTGCATGCAGTTCCTGAATTTTTGAAGGCATTTCTCGTGCCTGCCCCACGCCGCCAAACAGCCGCAGCTGCCTGCAATATGCAAGCGGTCATTTCGTTAATGAGCGCCTGCCAGCAGCAGCAGGAGGTGGGGAGTCGGGTCGGGTCAGAAGTAGCTGCAACTTTTACTGAGCATCCGGCGGATGGACTGCTCGCTGGTCGCAGCACATCCTATTGAGATGGACAGCAGCCAAGCAAAGCACCAACTGAGCCCCCTTCATTCAGCTGTGTGGTTGTCCCACTGCCTGACTGCCCAACCGCCTAACTGCCTAACAGGCTGCCTGCCAGGCTGCCAGCTGGGCTGAATGACTTGGTTTATTTCTACGTAATGAAATGAAATTGAAATGAATGTTTTATAAACCGTTGCCCGGTTAGAGAGTAGGAGACTCTACATTATATCCGCTCCTGCAACTGCCAAGAGTCATAAAATTATTATAATCTCTGGGGCAGCAGCGGCCACTGTTGCCGCTCTCTCTCTCTCTCTCTCTCTCTCTCCCTCCCTCTTACGGTAGATGCAACAAATATCACTGGGCTTTAAGGCCCAGCCAAATTATGTAAATATTTTCGTTCGCTGAGAATTTAATGAGCGCAAAATATCAATGCACAAATAATTTATACACGTCATCTATATAAGTACATATAAAATAATTTTTGTTTCAGTGTGGCTGTCTTGGGCTGACAGTGATGCGTTGGCTTGCATTTGCCAGCTGCAGTGCTTTCAAATAAGATACTTATCTCTTAACATTATAAAGTAAAAACTATGATGGGTTAATTAAAGTGTCTAGTGCATGGTGTTTGCTAAGAATAATTCTGCAACATTTTCGAGCTCTACTCAAAGGCCAAATTGAAAACTGGACAAGAGGCTTCACATCACTTTGAGCTAGTCTGAACGAGCCTTTCTGCAGTCAAAGTCAGCGCCAAACTCTTCTGCAGATGTGTGTCTACTGATGTTATTTGTCTGTTCGGGATTTTAATTAAATTTCGCTCAATGTTGTTGCCGTATTTACTCTGGCTGCTGTTGCTACTGCTGCTACTCCTGCTGCTGCTGCTGCTGCTGTTGTCGTCGTGTGGCATGTGGCCATTAAGCATTCTGCGGATTGTCGTCGCGGTTCTCGTAAGCCCAGAATTTATGAAATTCAATTAATATGGATACCACGGTCTCCGCCTGGCCGCTGCACACGCCGGACATGGTTAAACGACAATTTTTGTGGAAAATACAAAAGGAGGAGGAGGTGGAATCCAGTGTGCACAGCTTACCAATTGCTCAGATCCTTTAGTGTTATCTTGCACGGATCCTTGGGGGTAACCATGTCGAATATCTCATTGCTGAAGTCCTCGAACCGCACCGCCTCGGCAGACCTAAGCGCCAACTGCTCCTCTATTCCCTTGAAGAAGTAATTAAGCGTCTGCATCGTCAGGTAGCCGGTGTGCTGCACGTCCAGCATACGGAATAAGTAGTGCAACGAGGAGGATGTCTATGCAAGAGGATAACCGTATTAATAAAATAAAGAAAATCGCCAGCTGCTGCTAGAGCCAAAGAGCTTTAAGATGAACATTTAGTACACTATCCAAACAATATGAATCCTGCTCGTAAGTTCATTCGGCTTAAACTCACACCTGTCGATTCTCCAGGGCCAGGACGAAGCCCAGATACGTTTTGTAGTCCATTTCGCCGTCGTAGGTGTGACACTCCTCGAAGACGCGATCCATAAACACTGATGTGAGCGTGCCTGAGCCATATCTGCTCAGCTCCTGCTTGCTGAGCAGGCCATTGTGATCCAGGTCCAGATTGAGAAAGCTCCCGTAGACCGCCAGGACGGCGGGCATAGAAAAGGGATTCAGATGCACGGGCCCCGACTCAGTCGGCTTTGGCTCGTCGCGCAGCTCCATCAGCTGGTGAATCAGGCCCGAGACCAGCATCTCGCGAATGCGTATACGACCCGTGCGCAGTGGATCGAGAAAAAAGTAGAACCGCTTCACCACCGTGCACACATAGAACTTCTCGAAGGCGGGATCCATGCAATCGCAGATTTGCCCCAGCGTGGGTATCAGATCCACAATGTAGTTCTCCAAGTCGAACTCGCGCAGGTAGCCCTGGCCGACATCATCGTAAAAGGAGAGCCCAATGCGACACTGCGTCAGCCACACCTTGCGCATGGTGTAGTTGAACACGGAGGCGATCTCCACGCTGCCCAGGTATGGTGACTCGCTGAGCAGCTGGGCGAAGAGACACGTCGTGAGATACTTGCGGCACTTCTTGTCGAGGGTCGACCTCAGCCTGCAGTAGTCGTCGTAGCTGATCAGCTGCTGCTTGGCGGTCGTCTCTGTGACATGCTGCTCCAAGAGGCGCCACAGCTGCTGCAGCTCCTCGTTGTTCAGCAGCTCCTCGGACTTTTGCTGCAGGAACAACGACTGCGCCTCGCGACGCAGCAAATGCCGCAGTTTGTCATCCGGTGGCGGCGGCACATAGAAGAACTGTGGCACGTGTTTGTACGAGGTGTGCTTCACCTGGGCGCGTGCCTTCAGCGGCACATTCGCATCGAATTTGGCCAGCTCCTCGGCGCTTATGTCGCGTGTGGAGATCTTGAGGCAAGCGAATTCCTTGACAAAGTCCGGATCCAGTTCCATGTTGATGCTTGGAAAGTTTTTGTTTGTTGTTGATTATTTCAGTTTATATATGAATAGGGAAATTATTTATTGTTCGGTTGCTTATCGAATCTGGTTTGATTAATTAACATTGATAGATGCCGAAAGGGCAAACATCTAAGCACTCCATGCAACTGTTATTAATCTAATTATATTTCTCTTGTTACAGGTTCGACCATTAAAGGTGCCGTTGCGATCTTGAACTGCATTTTGGCCAGACAACTGTGCTTCGAGGATCCCTCATGCTCGGCCATTTTGGAAATAATACCACGCGTCTGCGGGCCCATACCAGGTAAGAGAGTCAGCGCTTAGCGAATTAATGGCTAAAACGCGGTTTTGTGTTGCTGGCCAAGTTTTTAGCAATAGTTTGCATTAGTCTGCTGACCACACACACGCTCATAAAGTAGGGGGCGAGTGCCTGAGGCCGTTTGAGGATTAATTTTATTTAGTTGCTGCTGTCGTGGTCGGTGGTTGGCTGGCTGGGTGGCTCGGTGGCTGCCTCCTGGAGCCCGCCAAGCGTTTGCTGTGCCGACAACTGTGTAATTATTTTAGCAATTTTTGTGTGCGCCCGCGTGCAATAAAACAGTAAATAACGGTCATATGCTTAAAGCGCAATATAGCAACAACAACAACAACAACAACAACAGCCACAGCCATAGCAGCAGGAGCAGAAGCAACATCAGCAAATGCCACGAAATACCATTTGAATATTCAAATGCCCCTGAGAACTGAACCCACCCGCTAGCCGCCAGTTGCCACTTGCCACTCGGAACTCGCCAGTTGCCAGTTGCCAGCCAGCAGCTGGCAGCCGTGCAGCCAACTGCCATTGTGGTTACTGCCCAGCGGGCGAATGTGCGTGCCAGCCGCACCACTATGAATATATACGCACACATAGTTAGACTGCAGACGGAGGAGGTGCAAGAAAAAAGCAAACAAACGGCCAGCAGGCCCCCATCACCCATCGCCCACCCCTCAACCTCTGCTGCTGGAGCCAAGCTTCGGCAATGCCTCCTCCATTGTCGTCGCGCACAAAGGCGAATGAACGAGCGAGCCCAAGAAAAAGTTAATTTATAAATTATTCAGTAATTTGTTTGAGAATTTGCTTTCGTCGCCAGCCCCTCGCCCATGCCCCAACACAAACACACACACGCACACACACACACGCACACACACACACACACACACACACACACACACACACACACACGTGAACAAAGCTCGCTGCTGCAGGTATACATTTCTTATGTATGTGGGGTTTCGCTTTGATCTCTCCTCGCACCTCCCCCGCCCACACAGGCAGGGCCAAGCCAGGCCATTTAAAAGTGTATTCAAGTTCAGTTCACCGTGCACTATTCCAACGCCACCATCGGCAGGCCAGGGCTGTCCAGAGGCCACACCACTATTGGGGATAAGTGGGCGTGGACGTGGAGGTGGGCGTGGGCGCTCGGTTTTCAGCTGGCTTGTGAGCCGTGCATAAGACTTTTCTTTTCTTCAATTTAATTATTAATGTTCCAGTCAGCCAAAGTCTAGTGGTGTTTCGCCAGCTTTTCTTCTCCACGTCTGTCTTTCATTTAAGTGGCTTTTCCTTTCCTTTATTTACGTATATATGTGTGCGTGTGTGTGTGTGTGTGTATCTGTGCTTTCGTGTATATTTGTGTGAGAATTTCTCTGTGCTGTCACGTGTAAAAAATTCGCATTTAAAACGTGGCATTATCGGATTTACTCAAAGTTTTTAGTTTGTTTCAACTTTGCCTCAACTCCTGCGCAGCTTTGCGCTTTTCCCAGCCAAAAGACATATGCGCCAGGGCATCGGATAAGATGTGTGTGTGTGTGTATTTAATTCTGCGGCTTGGACCACTCCACGCTTAGGATTAAGTGATCATAGCCGTGTCCGTTGAGTATTTCGATTGCCTCGGCCGCGTCTTTGCGATATTTGAAGTGCACATAGGCAAAGCCCTTGCACAGGCCCGAGTTCTTCTCGCGCGCCAGATACATCTTGGTGTGTGGCCCAATCTTCTTGACCAGCTCTTCGAGATCATCCTCGGTCATCGACTCGGACAGGTTGGAAATGCGCACAGCCGACGAATCGTCGCGCTCGCGTCCCTTGCCGCCCTCCTTCAGGAACGGCGGCACATACTTGCCCGCCTTGTTGGTCTCGCCCACAGCTGCAGTGGCTGCCGCAATGGCCTTGCTCTCGATGTCCATGGAGGTGCCCTTGTAGGGGCACTTGACTGACCAATGCTCGCCGTTGCATATGCGGCACTTGGCAATGGGCTTGCTCGCATCCAGCGGATCCTGGGTGTGCTCAAAGTCCTTGGAGCCCATGTAGTTCATCAGGATCTCGTCGGCCACCTTGGTGGTGTACGAATTGGGGCCCGGCTTGTCCAGCTTGGAGTCGCCAAACTTGGTCCAATTGCGGCGCTTTGCCACTGCCCTCGAAACGATCTTCTTCTCAATCTTGAAGCTGCGCACCACCTTGATCTTCTTGCCCTCATCGTTGAACTTGTACTCGGTGACGTGCTTATAGTCGCCATCCACGTGCTCCTTCGAGGGCGGCAGTCCGTCCACATAGTCTGCCTCTACCTCATCGGCCCACGAGGTGATTGTCGGCTTCATTTCTATATTCGTGCTGGGTTAATGAATTATTAAGACGGGCTAACTGCTATGCTAATGCTATTTACATACCAATAAATTTGTGAAAATTTCAGTAATTCTTTCAAAAAGTCTAAGTAGTGAACTGTCCCAGTTTAACTCAGCGAGTAAAATTTTCACTTCAGCTTACTGTCAAATCTGTCAAAGCTGTCACGGCTGTCAAATCTGACAGCGTTTCCAAGGGCTGCTTTGATTAAAAGAATTTAAGTTATGGTTGGATTGTGGAGGATACACAAGACTAGATTAAAATATGTGAAAGTCTTCATTATACCCAGAAACCTGTGAAAATGTATGTAACAGGCAGAAAAAAGCATCGCGGACCCCATAAAGGCGACGAGCTGAGTCGATATAGCCCTGTTCGTATATATACAGACTTGAAATTGTGCATGAATACTCGTGTATAGGCAGTACGAGTTTATCATATTTTTTCGATAACTCATCCGATATCTTTTTTGTCGAGAATTAGCGATAAATTGTTTTCGGGCTTTCAATTATAATTTTAATACAATTAGACCTAAAGACTTCAGCTTTACTTTGTATATACATTTGATGAATGCGAATATTTTGTAGCTTACAGATTTTTCATAGTTTCATAAAGATAGTCCCACTACAAGAGAAATTAGTCAACGAATAAAATCTCATACTGTTACCCCCACTGCAGCGCAGCCCAAGCGCAGTCGCTGCTAACTGCGCCGTTAGCAGAGCGAGTACTTTAACGTGCTTGCGGAAGTATGTGTGATTCTGTTTATGTATGTGTGCATAAGAGAAGTGCAGAATGATTAGAATATCAGCTGTTTCGACTAGAGCACTCTCACTTGTTTAATCAGCGAAGACCCTTAACATGGTCCGCAGCTCGAGTTGATAAGAACATACGATTTGGTAGGGGGCAAACGCTAATCTGGCGTTGAGCTGTCTCAGTTGATCGGCTCACTTCATTGCGGATCGGTCGAGTCTTTCTTTGCCCAACAATTCAACTAAGATGTTGCAGCTGAAGCATGCTGGGAGTGGCAAAGTCATAGAGCTCGATGAGTTCTGGCTGCGCTATCATTGTCACTGCGGAGATTGCCTCAACACGGAGACGCATCAGCGGCGCTATGATGTCCTCGAGCTGCCGGCCGATGTGTACGCCCTGAGGCACAGCTGGGAGTCGGCGGATCAGCTCCTGGTGGAATGTAAGTACCGCTGGATGGCAATTAGCCGCAACATGCTCATACGTGTTTACATTACATCAAGGGAGCGACGGGCATCGTTCGAGCTACGACTGGGCGTTTATCTATGACTCGCAGCTGGAGCAGCTGATAAGCCGGCGCACAAAGTCCACCGCGCTGACGCCCTGGAACCGCAGCATCGCGCTACAGAACGAGCGGCACTTGCGCTTCTCGCTGCCCGCCCTTGTTGCCAGCGATGAGCAGGTCAAGCAGCTGGTAGGCGCTCTCGTGCGCTACGGCATTGTCTTTATAGATGACGTGGCGCCCACGCCCACCATGACTGAGCTGGCGCTGCGCCGCTGCTTCCCTATAATGAAGACCTTCTTCGGAGAGATGTGGACGTTCAGCGACAAGCCGGACCACGCGGACACGGCGTACACTAAGATGTACCTGGGCTCGCACACGGACAACACGTACTTCTGCGACGCCGCCGGCCTGCAGGCGCTGCACTGCCTCGATCATTCCGCCGACGGCACTGGTGGCGAGAACTTCTTTGTGGACGGGCTGCACCTGGTGCAGGAGCTGCGCCGTCGCTTTCCCGCTGCCTACGAGGTGCTCTGCCGCGTGCAAGTGCCCGCCGAGTACATCGAGCAGGGCCAGCACCACTGCCACACGGCGCCCATCATACGCATCGACCCGCTGACCGGCGAGCTGCTCCAGCTGCGCCTCAATGTCTACGACCGCGCCGTCTTCAACACGCTGCCCCAGCGCGAGATGGCCAGCTTCTACGCCAGCTTGCGGCAGCTGCTGCAGATGGTGCGCGAGGAGGAGCAGCAGTGGCAGCTCAAGCTGCGGCCGGGCAGCCTGGTGATCTTCGACAACTGGCGCGTGCTCCACGGCCGCCACGCCTACACGGGCCGCCGCATCATGTGCGGCGCCTACGTGCAACGCACCGACTACCAGAGCAAGGCGCGTATACTTGGCCTCATCGAATAGTTGCAGCCACTCAAATCCCAAATTTAAAATATCGAATGTGGAATGTGGAATGTCGAATGCCAATGGCCAATTGCAATTCAGTCGTGAATACATGGCAATAAAAAATTACGATTACAATTGTGTGTGGACAGCGTCTAATTCGAAGTCGAAACAAGAAGCCAACAAATATCATTTGGCATTTGTTTTTATGGCAAATGTCTCATAAGACCTTGCTCTCTGTAGATTTGTATGTGTGTGTGCCTGCGTCTGTGTGTGTGTGTGTATGTGTGTGTGTGTGCTGAGAGCCAACAAAATGGTATTTGGCGTCAGCAAAACAAACGTAAAACGCACTTTCAACTTTTTCATTTAAAAACTGAAATTACTTTCTGGCTGCTTCTGGGCCAGGGGATGGGGGGCAGTTTAATGGCAGCCGTATTGTCCTTTAAATGTCCTCAAAAAATATGTACATATATTGCACACGTGAAAGCAGAGCAAAGAAAAACCTACACACACACACACATACACATGCACTTTAAGCCAACACGCTCCAAGGCGGCCTGAATATTTATGATAATTGCATTTTATGCAGCGTGTCTGTTGCCTTTTCTCTTGGCGCCTTTATGCGGCGACATGACCGCATTGAAGCCTTTAAAAGCATCGCTCTCTCTATTCAATTCGCTCTCTCTCTCTCTCTCTCTCACTCTTGTTTTTTTCTCTATCTCTCTGACGGCAATAAATATTTTGACAAGCAACGGCGCTCTGTGGTGCGGGCCCTGCTTTCTGCTGCTGCAGTCGTAGCGTACTTTTTGACGTTCTTTACATGCGCTCCAACTCCAGCTGCTTGCTTGCGTGTGTGTGTGTGTGTGTGCCTGCGGTGTGTGCAAGTATGCGTATGTGTGGGTTACGCTCGCATTTTTGCGTTCGCTTTGTGCGATTGCCGATGGTTCAATGAAATCAGCAAGCAGTCAACTGCGCACAAGGCAAACAACCACGCACTACCCACACACATGCACCCACACACACATGCACCCACACACACACAGTTTTCAACTCAAGGCACGCCTGTTTCATATGACAAAAGGACATGTGTTGCATGAGGGGAGCCCCCATGCCGCTCAATAAATATTGTAAAAATTTCATGCACAAAGGCGCCAAGGCAAAGACAAAAGTTTACTTAATTTAATTAATTGCACGCCGATGTCGATGCCGATGCTGATGCTGATGCTGTGCAAATAAGAGCCAATACATTTTATACGAGCCGGGCCAACATGACATGCTCAAATTTCCGTTTGATTGCCAACTAAATAAATGCCATATAAATTTCAGCAAGTGCACAACGACAAGCACAACTATGATTACATACTGTATAGGAAAAGCGAACAAATAACAAGTTAAAATCAAATCAAACCCAGCCAAAAAATCAACGCACACACACACACACTTACAAGTGCACGTGCACGCTTGTTGGTCATATTGGAAACAACAAAGAAATCATTGAACCAATTCAGCGACCAAATCAACAACCGGAAACGCGTTTCGTATAAAAACGAATTGAGGACTTAACGTTCACGGTTAAAGGGCGAAAAAAGAGTCAGCGAAAGAGAAAGAGAGAGAGAGAGAGAGAGAGAGAGTGAGAGAGGGAGAGAGAGCAAGAGCAATGCTAGCTGAACAGTTACTGCAAATGGCGTCAGTTGATGATGGCGACGAGTCATAAAACCCGCCCGCCGCTTTTATGAGCAGCCACACACACACACACACATACACATAGGAAATCAATGGCCACAAAACTAAAAGTGCTTAGTAGTTGCAGTGGGTTTAAGCCAAGTCGAGAGATGTGGCCCCAACACCTGCTATTTAAGCTGGCCATGGCTTCTAATTGCGGCTGTGGCCCAAGTGGCCCAACTGGCGCAGAGCAGAGCTCTGGCCAAAAGCAACAAATGCGGCCATGTCAAGTGTTGGCCATGTCATAAATATGATGAATGCCTGCGAAAAATGTCACTTGTTGCGTAGTTCGAGCATCACGCCTCACACACACACACACACATACACACATACAAATTGCCCGAGGGTTGGGGCTGGTGCTGGGGTTGGGCGGTCAACTTTATGTTCGAGTAGCAAATAATCATGTCCGGGGTCGAGCGACCAGCGGGTCGTATGAGTGACATGAGCAATGGGCCATCCAGCTCATATGCTGGCCATTGGCCGTTGGCCTTTGTCTGGACGTTGCGGCAGTTGGTTCGCTTTGCTTTTTTGGCGATTTTACGGCTTATGGCCAGCCACAGTCGTCTCGATGTGTGTGTGTGTGTGTGTGTGAAGTGTAGCCGTAGTCGAGTTTATTAGTAGGGCTTATGTTTTATGGTCAAAGGGACAATGGATGGCCAACAGATGTTCGTTGGCCTTTTGTTTGTTTCGACAGCCCGCACGCCCCACTCATTCGAGCGAGTGCGAATGAGTGTGTGTGCGTGTGTGTGTGCGTGTCTGTGTGCGTGTCTATGTGGGCGGATGAGTGTATATATAGCAGTAGTTGTCATATGCTCGAATAAGCTGTCATATATGAAACATAATTTATTATGTTATAAAATATTATCGGATCGCTCTCCACCAACAAGCTCCACCAACGGGCGCTGGCTGCACGCTGCCTGCTCGCTTCATTGGTCGCTTAAATCGACCATTTTGCTGGGGACTCAATTATTCATATTGTTGCAGCTATATTTGTTAATGTTGTTGTTGTTGTTGCTGTTGTTGTTGCTGCTGTTTGCTGCTGCTGCTGCTGTTCGTGTCGTTGTTTATTGTTGGGTATTATGACATGTGTTTGGTTTGTAGTTGTCTGTTTTTGGGCCGACGCCCGCCTGCCATTTATAACAACTGTCAACTGGCTACAACTTGGGTAATCGATGTGAGCAGCGATTCCGAATTGGACAGATACAGGGACACAGACACGGACTAGGAAACGGACTAGGACACGGACACGGGCACGTCCAGCGAAATGTCAAAGTTTAAGCGCTGCTGCCATTTAGAGATCATTAAGCATAACTGTCGTTGCTCGTTTTTATAGCCTGGCTGTCTCTTTCATTGTCCTTGCAGTGTCCTGCAGCACGGTGACGGTCACAAAATGCCAAGCGGCGCTGCGCACGCTGCAGGCGTTTCAATTCTTTCGCCCCACCTGCCTGTGCAAGGAGCCCGGCATGGATCCCGATTGCAATCATTTCCGGGATTTTCTGTTCGATCATCCGTGCGGATTTGTGCTCAAAAAAGGTAAGTGCGTTGCAAGTGCCACCAAATGCGTGTGGCATGCCACAGGCAATGATGACACTTTAAACTTTTGATAGCCCCACTTAAATCATTTGCCTTCCTTTCGTTTTGCTCTATTTCCCTTCTGTTAATCCTTCCCCACAGCCGAAAAGGATCCCTATCCGATTGACGCTCTGCCCACGTGCAACCATGCGCTGTCCGTGTGCCAGCAGGAACGCAAATGCCTAAAGCTCTTTGAGGACTTCAAGACGCACTGCAAGGTGCGCGATAATAAGTGCAAAATGGAAAACAGGTGAGCGAATTGCGGAAATTAAAAAATGAAAGGAAAGGGTAATCCCTGCTAAGTAAAGATAAGCAGCTCGGGGCTACTGAAGGATGAGAGCTATAGGAACTGCCGGCCTGGCAGTAATTTTTTTTTTTTTTTTTTTCAAACCTACTCTCAACTCTTGGGCTGTGCAATCGATAAGTGAATTCAGCAACGTCCGCCGTATCAATTATAATTATTGATTATTCAGTTTGCATACAAAGCAACAAGCTCTCGCTTAGTATTCCACGCTCTGCCGCTTGCGTCCTGCCGGCAGCCGCAAACTGTTGCAAATTGGGGGAAACTGTGAAACGAATGCTAATTAGAGCAGCGGCACAAAAAGTGCACCGGCAGTGTCTGCGAACTTGGTGAAAATGGGGCGGATAATAAAATCATTCAATTAAACTGTTTGGCTTAATGAGAAAATGGATTTAGTTGCTGGTGATGGCATTTTAGCTGAGCATCCCAGCTTGTTGCCGCAAAAACTTTCGACGCTGCACAAACTGCAAAAGCAACATTTAATTTCGATACTCGATAGCGAGAGTGGGCGAAGGGAAGTGCGGGAGCGGCAGCGGGCGGGGGCGTGGGCATGGCATATTCGCCCAACTTCAACTAAGAGCAGCGAAATGAAATTTCCTGCTAGTTGAGTTCCTGCTGCTTCCTGCAGCCTTCACATATCCTTGCTGACGCCAGTTGCTTGCGGCGCCTGGCTCAATACCCTCGAATACAAACGTTCTGAATGTTTTAATAACTCGAAATGACTTTTTGCGGCGGCCCCGGCGCGCTCTTTGGCCTGGCTTAAAGTTTCACTGCCGCCGTCTAAACTTTGAGCACGCACAGGCCATGCGGCAAACGGGCGCTGAGCGTCCTCGAGCGGCCCACAGCCCACAGCCCACATCCCATAGCCGAACTGCTGCCACCTTTGCGATAAAATATTAATTGAACTGCCGTATGTATGCATTTTTGATGCAATTGCCAATTTTAAAGTTTGTTGCGTCGAGCGGAAGTCGGGTCTTGGGTCGGGTTTACGGGGTTTAGTTCGTCGAGTTTCTTGCGCACTTTTTATACGAAAAGGGTCGGCGCTGGGGTTGAATATAATTTCAATTAGCTGTGGTGGTTGTGTGTCGGCTTAGGTGCTGCTTTTCCTGGTGTGCTTTCATGCTACAGAACCCTACTGACTGCGAGTGTTTTCGTTTTAGGGATGCCTGCCACGATGCCTGGACTAATCTGCGCTTGTCGCCCATGTTCGGGTGCATCTGTCCGAATAATCATATGAAAAAGCGCTGTGATCGTATTTTTAATATTGTTAATCACAATCCGTGTGTGGGTAAGTTTTCCGGCAACGGCTGATGCCACCAACAACAACAACAACAACAACAGCTACAGCCACAACAACAGCCAACAACAAGAACACAAAATCCTGACAAAACGAACAAAAAAAGAAAAGAATGAAGAAAAGAATGAAGAATGCGTTAAGTGGTGAAACATTTGCCGAAATGCAAAGAAAATACATTTTTATTTCATCTCTTGGAACATTAAATGTGATTTCTTTCTACTATCTATGGTTAAGCGAAGAAGCAAAACCATTTTGAGTACTATCTTAATATCGTATTATGTGTTATACGTTCTTTACTCAACACAAATGAATTTCTCCTCAGTTCTGTCTACTTTTCGTTTCGATTTCGATTTCCATTTTGTAATTTTGTTGTTTTCCGTTTTGGTACTTTGTGAACCGCTCAAAACTGAAACTAGCCTAATAATTTAAGTAATCTAAATACCAATGAAAAAAAAAAAAAAACCAAAAAACCTGAAACTAAAATCGCACGCTTTTGCATCAAAACCAAAACAGTAAAAAATTAATAAACAAATTAGTTAAAAAAAAAAAAAAAAAAAAAAAACAATTCCCACATTTGCGTGACATGCGATCAGTAAACAACCTATTAGCAATAACATGCCTATATCAGTATTTGAATATATGGTTATACTATACGTATTAGCAATGCTCAGTAATATCGTAAATATCACGTATACGTACATCTACTATATATATAATTATATATATGTAAAGCTGCCGTGTTTACTGTCACCGCTCTATCTCCCTCGCTCTCTCTCTCTCTCTCTCTTCTCTCTCTCTTCCTCTTCTCTCTCTATATATATTTCTCTCTCGCTCACACACACTCACCATTCAACAACTATCAAAGTACTGTAAAATTGACCTTGCTATCTATCTATCCAATATATAATAATAATAATTAGCAGTAAGAGTTACCCGAATACCCTCACCAACTGCTAGCCGATTCGAATTGATATGCCACACGCTAACTGGCGCTGTTACTGTGCTTTACATATAGATTGACATTATATTGACATTTCCATTGATTGATTGCACAAAGTACATACGAAACACATTTGGAACTAAAATATTATCAACTAACTGCTGGTAACTGTAATAACTAGTTTTGATTTAATCGTAATCGTTGCTGTACTATCTAGCTCTCGCTTCTGTCTACTTTCTACTGCAAACCGTACAAATCGTTCTGTTCATTTACATGACTTGGGCCGGGCTTAGCGGGGCCACTTGCTGAGGTCTCACCCTAGCTATCCTGTCACATAGACTGTCTGTCAGCTTAGTTCATGCTTTTGTTGGCGCTAAACCAAAATTACTTCATTATCTTCACATTTTCAAGCAACCCGAAAGCAAAACCGTAAAACTCTGCAGCTCAAATTCAAATCCAATCCCGAGCTCAACTCAATTTGGGATAAGTCCTGAGCACTCTAAGCTGGTGCTGGCGCTGTGGGGTCACAGCCGCACTTCGCTAGCAGCTGCACCAGCACCAGCACCAAGCACAACACTATTCGCACCTTTGGATTAAATGCACCCCAGGCACTAATGGCACTAATTAAATAAGCGTACCCGCACCACTACACTCCAGCACACACCCACACGAACACCCACTGCCACACCCACGCACACATCTCAAACGAATTTGCACCATTTTTGGCACTAAACTGTATTTGCACCTCACGCATGTCTGCGCATCCTCCACTCCTCCCCATTGTCCCGTTTCCCGCTATCCCACTCTTTGGCTCTTTGCAGATAGAATAATATTTTTCCCCAATGGGTTGCCGAAGCTAAAACCAAAGCCAAAAACGAAGCCGAAACCGACGCGAAAACAGAAACAAAAGCACGGCCAACGCATCGGCCACGCCTTTAATGGCACGGAGCTCTTGTCGAACAACATCGAGTACCACTATCATGACGAGCCCAACAGTGGCAGGGAGCATCCGGAGGAGGCGGACGCGGAGGAGGAGCAGGCAGAAGATGAGGACGATTCGGACGATGATGACTACGATGATCGCATACGCGCTGAAATCTATTCAAACTATCCGCACTATTTGCATCCGCCCTCGTGGGGCATTAACAACCCGTTGGTGCTCGCCTCCCACAGTCCGCACACCTCCGAGGACGACGACGTGGTGGTCGACGTGCCCACCACCACCACGCACCACAGCCACAAGAAGCAGCCACAGTCGCCACCAACCCACACGGACGACCTGGAGCGCAGCGTTGTGGACGATGTGGTAGTCGTGGTCGACACCGGGCCAGGACCTCGTCCGCACACACATACGCATCCACACACGCACACGTACTATGCGCATGGCGTGGAGCCACCGAGCACCGTTGGAACCATTGCTGCAGGCAGCAGCGGCAGCGGCAGCGGCGGCAGCGGCGGCAGCGGCAGCGGCTTCAGCTCAACCATATCGCCTAAGTATGCAGTTGCGAGTGTGATTCGGCCTGGCCGAGCTAAAGTTGGCATCTTTAAGCCGCCAACTTTGTTCAAACTTTCTTCACATATGATTGCTCGAGTGGGCAGTGCATGCTGGCTCTCCTAGGCCAAGTCCCCGCTCTCCGGCTGGCGGCTCAAGTCTTTCATTAACTCAACCAAAAACTCTTTTAACCACATCGACGGGGCTGCAGCTGAAAACTTTATGCAGCAAAGCTTTTAAAATAATTGACTCACTTGGGTATACCACAATTTCCGGTTAACAGCCAACAGTAGTCAGCTAATGAATGAGGCTAACAGCAACTGCAACTGCAACAACAACAACAACAACAACAGCAACAAGGAAATGAATAGAAACATGTCGGTTGCAGTTGCTGCCGGGCTGCAGCTCTCTGCGCAGTTGCAGGCCATTTAAATACTTAATCGACTCACCTAATGCATGCCATCTTATTCAATATTCAAATGTTGCCTGCAACGAGCAACGGGCCTAAATAGATGTCCGAAACGGGCCCTGGCTTTGCTCAAAAATGAATTTATAATGCCAGCTGCTTTGTCAATTGTCAGCGGAACAGAAATGTCAACCGACTTGGTCTGTTAATACTTTAAGCCGATTTGCCGCCGTATTAAGTCATTTGGGTCATTAATGAGCAACGGCTGCTAATGTCCTTTACAAAATGTCCTTATGCAACGCCACCACCACACAGCCACCAACCACAGCTAATTCATACAGCACAAACACATGCACATGCACCAGCACCAGCACCAGCACTTGCACCCGCACTTCAATTTACAGACTAGACCTATCCCAAATGCCATGCAGAGCTAACTTATTGACCCACTCACCCACCATACACACACCGCACATTTTCTATTATATAACTTCTTGCACTTAATTTCCGAATACTTGCAATTTCCTCAATGCTCACAACTTCAATTAGCACCGGCACCAGCACCAGCACCATCATGCACAAACCAGCACATCTGGGCGACTTTGTCGCCGGTAGCGATATCATCCACCGCACTCACGCCGCCAGCACAATGGACGAGAGGGGTAAGTAAATAAATTATTTAATCCAATTCAATAAATCAAATGCACTTCAATTAAGCACTCGATTAGATTCTCTTGCAAGACCCTCTTCTTCACTCGTCTGCAATCTATTTCTTATCTAAAGTCTTGTTATTTTATATTCGAGATGAAAGTTTTTAGTAAAAGTGGGATCGAAATTCTTATTTTCAATTTATTTCAATATACTTCTTTTTTTTTTTTTTTTTTTTTTTTTTTTATACTATTAATGGGAAGTATCTATAAAGAAAAATAAAAATCTATATTTCAACCTATGAAATGGTTTTTTTTTTTTTTTTTTCAGTTACATTTTTATTATCTCATAAAACTATGTTTTCTAGAATATTTCTGAAAGGTAACTGTTTTTACTCAGTGCTGGTAAGTTGTATAAATACATTTAGCTAGAACTGTAAGGCAGTTCAGGTAATAAATAAAGCAATGCGAGTTACGGGGCTTGAATTGGGGTAACGTAAGAGCACATTAGACAATTGAAGCACACACACACATTGTAGCACTGTACCACCGCACCACCGCACAAGCGCAACACCGCACCACTGCACCAAAGGCACTCGCTGACAGTAACTCACAGCGTCTCGCTCTATTTAGCTATCTATCTCTTGCGCTCCAAATAATTGCATCCTTTTGTGGCACTGTATTAGACAAACATGCGGCGGGCAAATAGCGACGACTGCAGCCACATCCTGAGTCCTGTGCATCCTGCGCCTTGTTGTGGCTCGGCCGGCTGCCTGCCACTTGCTGTCTTGTACCTAACTTGGCATTTGGCTGTTGGGGCATAGTTATGGCAATCTTCCACTGCAATCACTTGCAGTTAAAGTAATGCAACACACGCACACTCGCACGCACACACACACACACACACACAATCAGACACGCTCGTTCGCTTGGAATGCACAGAAGTGCCATAAATAAGCATTTTGTTTGTTAGCTCTGTGCCCCAGCGCCAAATACGGAGCCAGCCCCCAAAACCATATCTGCTCCAAACAAACTTAACTAAGTACATTATTGATATGAAGTGCACCACGCTCCCCCCACCCCCTCCCCTTGCAGTGGCTCTTGGCTTGAATTGGCATCCATTATGTGTATTATATTCAGTTGCTGCTTATTTACAGCTCTCAGCTCACACACACAATTGCATACACACACACACACACACACACACAATCAGCGGCACATGCGGCTGTATGTTTAGCTCCCGCTTTGACACTCCTCATCTCTATCACTCACACACACACAGACACACACACTTGCTGCATGCCGCATTATGTTAATCGATCGATCGCCCCTCGCACCGATTGCTTGGCATTTTGATTGTTACGCATTTTCTGCGCACTTGCCTCTTCTGCACATTGCCACAAATTTCATTAGCCATTGTCATAGGTCGTCCATCATCATCATCAGCATCTACATCATTATCGCTATAGACATCATCATCATCGATGCTGATCCTTTTGTTTCTGCATGCTCTAGAGCACTGGTTGGCCATCTGCTGATGGTTATAAATTTGAATCTGTTCGCATTGTGCTCAGGGCTGGGCAGCTTCATTTGCCAATGCAGCTATGGGACACACACACACACACATGCAGTCGCCCATTCACATACACACGTAATACAGCTATTGTGAATTTGCGCAAATATTGGCAGATATTTATGCATGTCACATACATCGACTCGCACACACAAACACGCACGCTTGTGCACACACACACAGCCAATTCAACGGCAGCAATAACAAATTTTAATCACACGCCGTTGCAAGACAGCAAACAACAACAATAACAACATTTGTAATTTATCCGATACTGACAATTAATGCCAGTTAAAGTGGTAACCGGATGACCCACAGTGCGAATCATAATAATCTGATTCGTTTGCCAATCGCTTAGCGTTTACCTCATCATCATCGCAAGGCTTTGCAGTTGATCTCATTGCGATAGGCGCACAGCACAGTTGGGAAAATTTAATTAAGCACAAGTAAAACAATTAATGTGATTTTCAGCAGCACTGCGCCAACAGTGACTGCACCAAGTATATGCACACCTGTTTGGCCCTAGCCCTAGTTTGTTTCGCGTGCAGCAAATATTTTTGTTGTATTGTGAAATTCGCCAATGCTCGGGCTGGCATTGTTATTGCACACATGCGCATACAGCTGGTACGCAGTGTGCTAGCCAAATTTCCAAATAACAGCACATGCTCCAACATGTATAACAGTTCTCTGTGAACTGGGGCAAGCTTTCGCATTAATTGGCCCAAATGCAACTCTCGCTTAAATAATTAAAGCCACTCTGAGATGATGCTGACTACGCTGCGTATACGCAACAATTTCGCGACTTTGAAGGCGACAGATCCACTCGTCGACAGCTGTTTACATGGGCGATAACACTTGGCAAACAGCGCTAATCTCATCGTCAGTCTGCCTGCCTCCTGCCGCCCCTGCCTGCACAGGCGGTACAGTTGGGATTACGATTGGGATTCCGATTCCGATTCCGATTCCGATTCAGCTTCGAGTTCCGCCAATTCTGTCGCTCCCCAACAGTTTGTTGTGCAAATATTTGTTTGGCAAAATAAGCGACAAACATAAATACGTTTCGCAGGCGGCAGGCAGCTGCCAGCAGGAGGCGGACACCAGACGACGGACGGTAGTCGGTAGACGGCAGACGGCAGACGAAAGGCAATGGCAAATCCATGGCATTTTCCTGCCATTTGGCGCCCCGCATTGACCGTCTGCCTGCCGCTGCGGAAGCTGGCAGCTGGTGTAGGAGCTGAAGCTGATGCCGATGCTGATGCTAAAGCTAAAGCTTAAGCACAGAGGGGTCTCGCATCCTTTGAGCAGGCGCCTCAAATGAAGCGCACTTTGGCGTGCGCTAGGCGAGATAAGCAAATGCTGCTGTGGTTGCAAAGCGTCTCCATTGAATCGTTTACCATTTGCTCGCTCTAACAGCGCATGACATTTGAAAGATACACAAAGTTAGACACAAACACATAAACACACACACACACGCACTCACATAGACACACGCACAGCACGTCTCTGTTAGCATTATGCTTGTATTTGTGCTTCTGCCCTGCTATTGACATTGATAGCGGAAACGGCAGCCCTGCACTGGCAATTGGTGCGTGGCGAGCCACACAATAAGCAATTGGCTAAATCGAACCAGAGCCATGTCGCCGTAGTACCAATGACACTTGCTTCAAGGTGCGATTCATCGCTGCCCAATAAATGTTCATAGTTATTTATTCAAGCACTCAATTGCCCACGGCTCAGGTCGCATATCTAATTTCAAATTTGTTTTTATTTTCTGTTGCTTTTACGGCTTGTCATAAAAATTAATGTCGATTGCAGTTGTTGCCGTTCAGAACTTGCTTTATTCTATTTGTACATAAACTAAATGGTACTGAATATATATAGTATGTATGACTGATGTCTGAAATACCAAATGCACTCTCACACACGCCCTACTATGTTGTACTAGCCGCACCTGTATAGAACGCACCGTTTTCCCAAACTGTCCATGTATATTTCAAGTTCTCTTATTTTCTAAGATCTTCTTCACATGTATTTTTGTTTAATTAATCTAAGTTGAGTTTATAGAAAGTACTTTCAAAAAGTATGAGCCCATGTCATTCGATGGGTACACACACACATATATAAACCTAATTTTCTTTTATACAATAACAAAAATTTACGATAAGATTGAAAAAAAAAAAAAAAAAAAAAACCGAACTGAAAATGAATTGTGCAAATTGATTGGATGGCCAAAATGTTGATGTGTTGCAAGTTGGCAGCAACTGCAGCAGCCATAGTCAAAACAACAGCAACAACAACAGCTACTCGTATCTACAAAAAAAATAACAACAACCAACATACGTAACAGGCACTGTACAACTACAACAACCATTCTACCCTCTCTCTTCTTGCTACTTAAAATTCCAGTAAGAATATTGGGCATGGACGAGAAATTGCATCAGAGAATCTTCGATGATAATTTGGCGGTTATTGATACGCCGTTAATAGCGACGGGCGGCTCGGCGAGCAGCTATAATTATCCGGGCTCGGTGTCCAACTCGCTGCACGGCGTGCTCAGCTATCCGTTCAATATAAGCGGCTTTCATCAGCGCCACATGGCGGCGGGTGCGTCGGCGACAGGCGCCGGAAATGAATCGCCATTCGATATTGTTGATACGGGCTATGGCTACGCCGGCAATGCCAATGGCAATGGCAACGGAAACGGAAATGCCGGTGTTTACTATCAAAGTATGTGTACATGTATTAGCATGAACGTAATCAATAAATAAATAAAAAACAAAAACAGAAAAACAGACCACAAACTAGGCTAACCAAAATAGCAAAAATATAATAAATATGATCAGCAGATGAAAACTAAGATGAGAGCAGATGCTGCTAGGCACACGGTTTCTGTTTGTTTTCACCCGACAGGTGACAGGTAGCCTTCGTTCTGTAATTGTTTGTATAGAGTTTATTCTTACCTTTATGCTTTACCTTGATTTTCATTTTCAATAAACTCATAACGTTTTGCGCGTGTTGTGTCGTCCCCCTGTAACAAACACACCCCGTTGCAGGTAAATTTTTAAGTAATCAACTTTTACCGCTCAACTTTTGATTTCAATGTTGAAATGCAACGAACTAAACAAACCAATTAACTAACTACTGGCGCGCCTCGAGCTCGTCATGGCTTTGTGCATAATTTTTAGCGTTCGCTCAACTTTTATAAATATCAAACAGTAACAACAAAAACTGCCGACATACTCGTATATATATATACATATATATAAATCTCTCTCTCTATATATACATACTTATATTATATGAATACCTTAATATTTTACTATTCGTTTTTAGTTACGTTTCTTTTGCCTTATGTAGCTTGCCACTTGTTTTTTTCAAATGTTTTGGAAATTTTCTACAAATTTTTACAAAAACAAAAATTGCTTCAACTTCGGTATGAAAATTTCGAATAATGAATTTTGTTTGCCATTTTGTTAATATATACAAAAAACCAAAACTAAAACCAAAGCCGAAAGCTATAATGACGGATGAGAGAGCTGTACAAATTGTTAATACCATTAATAAAAACAACAAATCTAACTGTACAATTTGCTATCAAACTTTTAAACAAAATTCATTAAAAACAAAAAAGCTAAAAATACATTTTTGTTACATTTAATTCAAGCACACTTTTTTACAAAATTCTTCGATGCACCCGTTTTTTGAAACAAAAACAATAAACAGTTACAATCACAAATAATTCAAATACTAAGTACAAACAACATGCGTTACATACATTTCTTATTCAACTAAAACCATTTTGTTCAGATGCAAATTTTTTTTACCAATATGTTTCATATGTTGCGTGTTCAAGTTAAATACAACAACAACAACAACAACACTGTCATAACAACAACAAGAAAACTACAAATATATATATATACTCAAAAGCAGTTGAAACATTCACTCATGCCATCCATATCGAAATTGGTATTGCATACAAATTTCCATAAGCATATGAAGAGCCAAGGTCTTAGAACGAACAACATTTCATACAGGCCCAACAAACTCAGCTCAAGTGGAAAATTATTTTGATATTTTGAAGATTCAGCTCTAATCGATACTTACAAATAAGACAGAAAACCGATTCTACTACAAAACTGTTCATTTTGCATTGCAGCCGCTTACATTTGATTTGAGCCTTATGAGTTGAATTTGAAATTGTTTTTATGTCTTCAGTGCTTCGGAAACACTTAAATAATTTACATTTTATTATTTATTTTACGTGCAATCAGTGATGTTTACATAATCTGTTTCAAATCAAACAGAATCTACATAATATACTGAATAGTCGGATTAAATTACACTCAGCTCTCATTTCAAACATTCCCATTGACTCGGGCGCACAGGTGTGGCCAAATCAGAGCAAAGACACACACACACACAGCTACACAAACACAGACACATCAAACAGAACTTCATTGTTAGTTAAGCGTCGCTCCTGGCGCGTTACCCAAATTAAGTATTTTGATGAGTAGGTTGTAGTTGAAAAGGCCGACAAGTCTATTGAAATATTTAATCTATACTTTATGCGTAAAACTATATACAATACATAGTATACATAGTTGTGTTTGAAACGCCCCCCGCAGCCCCGCTGCACCCGTAGCCCTGCTGCTCACTACAAAAATATACATATATGAACAAATCAAGTCTACGCTCCATCCCTGCTCCTCCCGCAGTTGAGAATCGACTCCCCATTGAACGTGCCCCGAACCTCCATTTCAAGTTATAGGCAACAAATTTGGAATATAATATAGAAATATATAAATATATAAATATATTTGCTTTTAATTTCATTATTTATGCCTTTCGTTTTTATTATTCGATTATTTTTTGATTATTTATGGGTGGATCTGTGTCGGGTCGCAGTGGACTTAACCATGGCATTGGATAGAAACGAGAGCCAACAACAAGTTGGTTAATTAAAATGTAATCTATAACAGGCACCAGCTGTTGCTGCTCCCCAACATGATGCGACAGCCTCAGCCCCACTCCCCCGCTCCATTCATGCTGCGTGCGCTCAGCAGGGAGCGCGCGTTGATAATCATTTCTAATTAGGATTATTTGCCATCAATCCCTCGACGTAATCGAGTTATGGGCGCTTTTGTGATAAGCTCGAGCCACAAATATGAAATATGCATATTCATTTGTTAATTAGTTAGCAATAAATGCAATGAATAAATATGCAGAGCTAAAAAAAAAAGAACATTATTCATTGATTACATGCCGCCCCATATATGCCACATTTTTGCGCTTGGCAAAAAAATGTGAGCAACAAAAATCCAATTAATGAAAATATTCTAAAAATGTCGAACGAACATTTTCATGCAATTACACGCATTGCATTAGAGCCCCGCCCCCTCCGCAGCGAATCGTTCATGTTGGCGGACGCACTCTGTGTAGCTATCGAAGGTGCTTGAGAGTGCTCTGAAATATTTGCAAGTGCTTTACCAAACCAAATTATCACAGCCGATAACTAATGGACTCATTTACAACATTCTTCTACACTTGCTACGCTCATCGTACAATTATGGCAAACGATGTTGGCTCTGAATACTCTCGTGATTTCGCTCGGCAAAACTCAACTGTAACTCGACGGCAATGCGATGGTCACTTGGGCACGTCTGCTGATGCTCGTGCTCGTGCTCGTGATGCTTGTGCTGCTCCTGCTGCAGGTGGTCAGGACGTTGAAGTTGACCTCTCAACGGAAATAATCAAGCAACATTTTCAGGTAAGTTCGACCTGAAGTGGGCGTGGTCAGGGCTATGCATCGGGCTGCTGCACTGCAGCTGCCCCCACCTCCCGGAGGGCAAATGCAAATAGTATTCTGAATATGTTGCAGCACCTTTTACATTTTGCGTGCACAACAACAATGCAGATTTTTTGTTTCTTGCTTTTGTTCTTGCCCCGTTTTGCCCTAACCGTGCGCAGAGTACCTGCCACACAGCACTGGACAGCTGCCGGGAGGATCCAGCCTGCTCATCATCGCTGCAACCAATGCTGACGCATTGCGAGCTGCATCGCTGCAATCGCAATGCGTGCATGACATCATTGCAGTCCTTCTACAAAGGACCGCACGAGGACCTGAATCTGGACATTGCCTTTTGTCTATGCAAGTAAGTGGCAGCCGTTGTTGGTCAACCACTGCAACAACAACCAACAATGCATATACTACTCCAACGGCGCCTTCTTTCCTGCTCCAACAGAAAATCCGGCAACAGCAACAACAGCCCCAGCCTGCAGAACGGCAATCGGCCCGACATGTGCATGATTGCACAGGAAAAACTGCATCCCGTCTGCGCTCAGAGGCCGCCCGATAACAATAATCCAGCCAGCTCCAATGGCATTTACTACCATCCGCCGCCCGCTTGCCACGTTGTAGCCGACAGCTGCAAAGAGTTTCGCGAGTGCAGGTGGGTTAAATACATATGTAGTCATGCCAGCTATGGCCCCAGGACCCCAGTGCTCCAGGACCCCAGGGCGACGCGCTGTGTCCATAATTCAAATGCTTGCTAAGCGGAAGCGGAAATATGCGCATCGCATGTAAATCCGCAGCTCGTTTTAAACTCTCTCTCTCTCTCTCTCTCCACCTCGCTCTGTCTGTGCATGTGCAGCGCGTGTTTTTGAACTGTTATTCAATTAAAGCAAATTGAATTTCGTGTGCTTATAGAATTACACATATTTAGCTCGCTCGCTAAGACGGCCGCAATTTTGATGGCGCTTTTGCGAAAGTCATTAAGCTGACAACAAGCCAAACTCATAGCCAACAGGCAGCAGCTCAAGTTGTTCGGCTTTGATGCCAAAAATCCGCGTCACTGTCAAACCGGGCGTTAAATTGCCACTTTGTGCGCTGCTCTTCATTAAACACGGCAGCGTGGCAAGGGTGCCACAGAGCATAGAGCGAGGCAGAGTCAGGCTGCACTCGGCTCTGCGCGGCTGGCAAACTTCAAGCCAGGCCGCGAATGTGTCAAACACAAAGTTAAGTGATAAATACGATGCAGCCATGGCTTGCTTGCAGCGCCATATGTGTGTGTGTGTGTGGGTTGTGGGGGGTATCGGTGTGTTTGTTGTCATGTTACAGCTGAACAACCGCAGCGAACGTGGCTCTGGTTGTGGCTGTGAAAATTAATTGCCTTTTAAGTGAATCTCACTTGCTTTAGTAAACAACTAAATTGGACTAATGACGCTCATTTTCTATGCTGCGCTGCCTACACACAACAACTCTCCAAGTGGGTGTCTGTGTGTGCTGTGTGTGTGTCTGCATGTGTGTTCGCAGTTTGCTTTCGTCTTGCTATTCGAGTGCTTATGTTGACTTATTACGTATACGACGCGTTGCATTCAAGCACGTGCATTGTAGATTGTTAGATGCTGGGCGTGACGCACTTGTTCGGCTGCCTGGCCCCAAGGGTGTCAGATTGTTTTACTAACTCTTAGATGGCTGCCTCGATGTGCCACGTGCCACAGCCTCTCTAGGGGCAATGCATGCCTTTATATAACCAGCAGCCGGCCGGCCAAAGGGCACAAACAATGTCAAGCATTATAATTTATATAATCAGGCTGATTATCAATTATCAATAGAGTGAACTATAAATGCTGCGAAATTATGCCATCTAGCCATCTGTTAGCAATCATGTGCATCTCGTTGCCTGAAGACACCATAAATGCTAGAGAGATGTCGGAGTTGAATGCGTGTCTAATAGGGCTCATCTGTATGTTATTTGGCGGTAAAGTTGCAGCTGATTGAAATGACTGAAATGCCAACGGCTAGAGAGCGCTCCACACTTGTCTGCTCTGTTAGCTATATTACGCATACGCCACATGGCAGATAGAGCTGCAGGTGAAGTGAGCTCGCATTTTACGGCAGTGTCGTAAACCCGATGCAATAAATTGTGTTGCAACTTGCGGTGGTAGAAACAACTGCAGAACCATCAAATGCACGAGGATACCAAGTGTAATTCCCACATAAATGGCTGGACATCAATCTCAGACTCAAGCTAGCTACTGGGGTTGCAGGCAATGGGTAACGGGTAACGGGACACTTAGCAACAGACAGACAGGTATTCAGACAACTAGACAGACGTTAACTGCAGCTACAAGCTGACGAGCTGACGAACTGACTATCTGATGAGCAGCTCCGATCCGAGAGTTTGCTGCCGGCTCACACATGTTAATACTCAGATTTCCATTTTTGTTTTATTCGCAAACCCCAACCTTGACAGACTCAAGCTGGAGTATTATGAGCAGGCCTGTGCCGTGGACAGTGTGACCAAGAAGTGCGCCGGCCGGCCCAGTGGCTGTCGCACCGCAATGATTGGCATCCTTGGGACCATGCTGCGCACCACATGCGCCTGTCAGGGCACCGATCCACAGCATCTCTACCAGTGCGTAGGCTGGCGGCGCCTGCTCTGGATGAATCCGTGTGTGGGTGAGTAGACTACAACGGCTGGATAATTGCATGGCAGGATGCAGCAAAAATCTTATGCACTTTGCAGTCGAGGCACAAAAGGACTTTCATATGAAGCGTCTGGCTGAATTGGGCTTTCTGACGACGACCACAACGACGACAACAACCACGACGACCACGACCACTACGACTCGTGCCCCGCCACCCCCACCGCCGCCGCCTCCAACCACGACAACGACCACAACCAGCTTGCAGCCGAAGCAAACCCCAAGGAAGCCCGCCACGCATATCTTCAAAGTAAGTAGCCTGTGCCTATGAGTGCATCGGCATCGACACCGTCACCGGCACCGGCACCAGCACCGGAACCTTGCGTTCCGCTGGTCGGTCGGAGCATTAACGGGACTAATTGTGGGGCAACAACTGTGCTGTGGTCGGGCGCACTGGGCCAATCTGATAGCCAATCCGATTAACAAGCTTCAACAACAGTCGCCCGACCTCCGTCCCATCATTCAGTTATCCTTCAATCCGTCTGTTTTCCAATCAGCACTCAATCAGTGGCTGCACAGAGTTGAAAAGCCAAGCGCACAATATAAACCCAGCGCTCGAGTATCGGAGTATCGACTATGAATTCAAACCGACAAAGCAATCAATTTCTGCCCTTCTGCTGCTGCTGCTGCTGCTGTAGCTGCAGCTCACAGATTAAATGCAGTGCACAAAAATAGTCGAGTTTACATTGAAAACCTTTAAAACATTTTCTTTTCATGTTCCCAACCATACGAACAACAATCGCAAAACCACAATAATAAAAAAAATAAATAAATAAATAAAAATAATAATAATAACTGAAAATAAATAAAAAATACAAAAAAAAACATACTTAATAACTGCGCCACAAAATTAAAAAATCCAAAATAAATAATAAATCGCACGCAAAAATATAAATAAAATAACAACCCAATCGCTTGACAACTCGAACAGGCAAAGGAGAAATCAGAGCCGGCATCGGTGGAACACAATTATCTCGATCCGCCCGACTCAGTGCCGCTGCACAGCGGAAACGATGCCAGCGGAAATGGCGGAAATAACGATTATCATGGCGGCAATGAACACGACAACAATCACGGCAAGGGGCATGCACACGGACACGGGCATGGCAACGGTAATGGCAACGGCAATGCCAACGGCAATGGCAATGGTAACGGGAATGGGAATGGGAACGGAAATGGCAAGGGCGACCATCGGCGACAGGGCAAGAAGAATGGCAATGGCCAAAACGCTGGCCTTGGCAGGCAGGGCGTAGATTTCGATGATCCGGTAATTTTTGTTGACCAAATGGAAACAACAGAGCTGGTGCACAGCATCAGCCACACAGAGCCGGCAACCACAGCGACCACAACAATGGCGACCACAACAACAACCCAGCCACCAAGTAAGTAAATGCATGTGGGCGATCCCTTTGTGTGCGTGTGTGTACGTCTGTGTGTGTGTGTGTGTGTGAGTGTGGGCGATTCCCCCTATTATGCGTATTACCACAGACTGTTGAGTGCTGATAACTGACTGGCCACAGCAACAGGGATGATATTATTGGCCATACAGGCAGCCAGGCTTCCGGTTACACTTATGAGCAGAGCTCTGCCAAACTTTTATCCGCATACAATTTTTAATTTTTTTCAAATTTGGTTAATGCAGTCTCATTACAAGTTTTGCCAGCTTTGTCACAATTAGCTCGTGTGTCAAGGGGGCAGACCAGTCCTTATAAATGTTGGCCCTAATTTTCAGCTCTTTCTTTTTTTTTGCTCGCTTTTAACTTGCAATTTAATTGATGTGGTTAATGGGCTCTGCGGCGTATGGAAACGGAAGCTGTTTGCTGCACGAATTACATCTATCTGTGAATTTCGATGTACAGTTTCATTTGAAATGTAAAATGGCTATAATGCACATCAGTGTGTGAGTGTGTGTGTTTGTCTGTTGCCGGAAATGAGTTTGCTCACGTGACAGAGATTTGTAAATCTGACAATATTTGCTATACTTATAAGGCGTATATATTAAATCCGATTAAGAGCTCGATATACATAGCATTTCATATGCATTAACTATTCTCAACGGTTCCAAAACACTAATAGAAATTTATTTGTAAACTTCTTTGAAATGTTTGCCTCAACTCAGTATTTTTTTTTTTTTTTTAGTATTTTCTACGCATTTATGAAATACTTCCGTTATATTGTGCAGCTGGGCAGCAAACCTGTCTGCAAATTGCATTAAATATGTAAATGAGTTTGTTTGCTTGCCACACGTCTATCGCCGAAATAATTCAAACACACACACACGCAGGCACACATGCATACAGGCACGAGCACAGATAGACAGATAGAAGCCATGTGTATAAGCTGTAATTATTCAGGCCGTTGGGACATTTGCGTGTGCATTTTGTATGAATTGTTGTTGTTTAGTCACCGGACAGCGTCGAGCTCTGCAGCTTGCATGTCTCATTCATAATTGATTTAAATCGTGGGGGAGCGGGCGAACAGCCGGTCGGGCGTGTCATTTGACATCAGCATTTAACAATTTGAAGCTTCCGCATTAAAGTATTCAGTGAAATGAATTGTTTTGTTAACACTGCTCAAATATTTATTCAATGCCATGAAGTGCACCACTTGAGCCTCACGTTTATTAAAAATTAAAAATGTAAATAAGATTTGATTTATTTATTAAGAAAGTTTCCTAAATGATTTTCGGACCAAGTGAGCAATGGGTGCTACTAAATGTGCTATGCCTATGGCTCGGGCTCTGGCTCCGGCTCGTTAGTTTTTATTGTTGGCCAACATTTCACACATGCCTACAGGACAGCAATTAGCACACTCTCCAAAAACAGATAACACTCAGCCGGCAACAGTCAGGGGATTGCCCAACTTTCTGGCACGTTTCACAGCAAACGCTCTTTAATGAATGAAGTGCATGATGAATGAATGGATGGGTCGAACGACAGTCATCGGAGGGTAGCTCTCGCACCACATTGTGGTGCCTCAGCCCAGAGGCTTAGCCCGGGCTGTGCCATCAAAAGATATTGTGTTTATTCTATTTCTAATACGAACTCCATTCTCTTTCGCAGGAAACTGTGTGGTGCAGCGACCCCATCAAAGCGATCAACACATACGCGAAGGCAGCAGCAAGCGGGTAAGTGACATGCAGAGCTCCAATTGAATGGTTTGAAATCAATATTTTATGCAAATGGCAGCACGTTCATGTAACTGTCCCAAATCGTCAACAATTTGCAGCAATTAACATTTTTTCATTTGAATAAAAAATGTCGCAAGGGTTTTTCCAGCACGGCTGCGAGATTTATATAACCTTCCATTTCGCTTTATTTCATTTTGTTTCATTTATTTCTGTTTTTTATTTTGTATTTTATTTTATTATTTTTTTAACACACAGCGGAAGTTCAGAAAGTGTTATTAAAACGCATTTGCATAACTAAAAGTTTGCAAAGCGGCAGCCAACAAAACAAAACAAACGAAACAACTTTCTGTTGCCAGCACACAACAAGTTGAAGCTGTATGTGTGCGTCTATGTGTGTGTCTGTGTGTGTGTGGATGGCTTACGTGCCGGCACGTGCCCAACGAAAAGATATTACCACATTTAACAACGCCATGAAAATGGTAGCGCATACAGAACAACAACATGTACGACATCGAAAAAATAACGAAAACAATTTACAAAATAACAACAACTACAACAATAGCAGCAGCAGCAGCAGCAGCAACAACAACAATGCGACGCGAATGCACTTTGGCCACTTTTCTTTTCACTTGGCCTCTACGTGCTGCTGGGGCAACAACAGTTTCATGGCAAGCGGCAATGCAATTAGTGCTCGCATTGTTTCAGCTCGCAGCTGCATGTATGCACGGGGCGTATGCTTAATGTAATGCCTGCTGCCTAATTAGGTGCAGGTCGGCGCCAAGATATTTCTCGGATTTCATAAGATGTCGGCTCTACTTGCAGATCTACTCGTTGGACGACGCCGAGTGCAGCGAGCTGTGCAGCTGCGGCGACTCGCTTACACTCACCTGTCACGCCCTCTGCGTGCCCTTTGCGCCCTGTCGCACCGCCCTGGCGTTCTACAGTCACGCCTCGCCGGCTTATCAGGCGTTCCGCGGCCGTTGCCTCTGCTACTCGGGACGTTTTATCTGCATGAAGCCACCGCTCGGGGAATACATTCTGCCAGGTTAGTAGTGTCCGCCCACCTCACTTGATCCGTCGTCATTTCCATTTGACTCCTGCACAAAACTCCACTGCTGCTGCCAGCATCGTCTCTGTTTCCCGTTGAGCACTTTACGATTATCGCTCGCGACAGGCAATGACGTTGCGTGGCTGACAAGTGTGTTTCATTTGGCAGCCAGTGCTTCAGGCAGCTGCCCTCAGGGCGTGCATCGGGCCAACAATACTTTTTAAAACAGCAGAATATAAGAAGAATATAAGACATTATTCTCATGCCCATCCAGCTGCACTTTGTTTCCTCTTCGAGTCGACAGATACATAAAAGGTTATCCCTCCCCCTCTCCCCCTCTCTCTCTCCACTTATGTGCATTTTGCATGCACCATGAAGTGGTGTAAATCAATAGTTTCGTATAATATTTTTGAGATTTATGGCATGCTGCTTCTTGCAGGAGGCGTCTTCTTGCTGCTGGGCTATAGCGCCGCCGATGAGGCACTGCTGCGACCCCACACCAATCTGGGCGTGCAGGATGCTGTGCGCGCTCTGCAACAATACGTGACAACCTACATTAACAATCAGGTAAGACAGCGCACCTGCCAAATTCTTCAAGTTCCATGAATGCTAATTGGATTCTGTTGTTGCTGTCGACCCGCAGACACAGTGCACTTTGACGCTGTTCAATATGACTGAGGAGAACATCATCATTGCAGCGCGGCTGCCGCACGACGGCAAGCTGAAGGACATCGATCTGCTGCGACGTGAGAAGGTTTGTGAACTCATTTAATAATTCTATTAAGCTTGCCAGTGTGAACGAGTGCGAATTGTACTCGAATATATTCTCTCGCTTATCTGGCCACTTGCAGGACGAGTGCACCTCGATACTGAAGACCATCAGTCATCATATCAACACCGAGCACAATGAGCTACAATCCCACCGACTGTTGAGCATTTTCAAAATGTCCGAAGTCGATGTCGTCTGGCCGGAAAGCACGAGCGCCGCTCGCAGTGGCCAGACAGCGGCCAGCCGCCTGGTCTCCTTGTTGCTGCTCTCGCTGGCCCTAACCGTCCGTGGCACGCTGCGTCTGGCCGAGCAGCCAACATGACACGGCAGTTAAAGCAGCAGCTGCAGCGCTCACCAACTGTATGTAGTTTATTTGTAAGCTGATGTAAGGGGCGAGGGAACGGGGTCAAACGTGTGGCATATGGGCGCTTTAAGCAGTGCTCATCAAATACGATACTAAACTAACATAAATATATATATATAATATCTATATATATGTTTAGAGAGTACATTTAGAGTGTATGTGTCTGTGCGATGTCTAAATGTGTGTGTAGCTAAAGGAAAGGGAGTGCGAAACCTATATGAGCATAATACTTAAATATTCAGCAGCATTAAATGTGAGTTAGTTTAGTATTAGGCATCTAAACATACATATGAATATATGAGCATATGCAGATACATATACATATACATATACATATACCTATACCTATGCATATGATATAATGAATTAGCGAAATGTGTTGTATACTTTTAGCAGCTAGCAGAAATTTTGTGCGCTTTGTTGTTAACTTGAAGATGCGATCTTACTTTTTGATACGTACTTACATCTGTGAGGCATTAAGTACTTGATACACCATTCGACTAACGATAGCGATAATGATAGCGATAACGATAACGATAACGATTAACTTTATATACTCAAACAAGTGAGGGAATGAAACTGCTGTCTATATAATAATTATCTTAAAATTAATGGAAATTATCTACAATTACTAATGCTAGCGTTTAACTATATACACAATGATAATGAAAGGCATCTGACAGAAAACTGTATATAGACTTGATACTTGTTTAAGGTATACACTTACATACATACACATATACACATATATTCTTACATATGTATATGGAGAGCACACAAACGACGTAGCTAGTGTTTTATACGATATAAGCTATACAATATATATGCAATACATATATATATATATATATATATATATATGTATATTTGTGTACAAATTATTTACTTACATTCAACATTCATTATCATCCCTACAGCACACAGGGCAGAGTTAATTGCAGTTTTTACACATTATGCCCCATTATTGTTTTATTGTTGACACAATTAAAAGCAGGAAGAAAATATGAGCATGGGCAAGCCGCAGTTTAAATACCCTAACACAACCCGCTGCTTAATTTTTCATATTTTACTATATTTTACATTATTTTATTACTATTACTCGTCTTCATCTTCGTTACAATTCCATCATCTATATAATTTTCAATTTTCCGAATGTCACTTGAAAATCATGGAGAGTCCCAGCTCTTTTTGCTAGGGTATACACAATGAATGGCTTAAACTGTAGTTAAATTATTTATTAATTTATTTATTGTTTTGAGGTGCGAACATCTTTTGCGCACATACGTTTCCGCTTCTGATAATTAAATTTGGACATGAGAAATAAAATTGCTCATTCATTTCAAAGTTTTCCACACAATATGCAGGCCCTCGTGGCGCGAAGAGAATTACGGTTTCATTACCAATTATACTTTGCATGGCTGAGTATTTAAGTAATTATGCTTTTCTTACAGCATACATTTAATGTATTTGCTCTGCGATTCTGTTGAGTGTCTTCATTTGAAGAGGTTTCATATCATGCAATCGTTTAATTTGGCCCTTCCCCAAATGCTGTAAATAAGTCGGGAATATATTACGTTCTATCAAATACTAACAGTACATATCAATGTGAACACCTAAATATACACGGAATGTCGTATAAACGAACCCTTTGTACATACCTCTATATACATATGTACATGCTAATATACACAACGATACGTCTAAGTATGCAAATGAAACTAAACAAAGGATAAAATATATAAACAATAACTATTATGATCTACCCTAGCAGCAGCAACAGTAAATCGAGAAATAATTGTACATTGAACCGAACTTCAGTTGCGCCTTAATAAACTATGTAAAAACTATTCAATTTTGTGAATATGTACGTATAGAAAATTATAAATGCGTAAATTCTATGAATATTAAGTGAGTGTTTCTGAGACACTCAGTAATAAACACAAACAGACAAACAAACACACACACACGCACTCACACACAGACAGACAAACATACACACTTAAAGTCTAAGCTTGACCATTTGAGCAGAGCGTTAAGCTAGCGCACACACACACACATACACTCGTGCTCACACAGACACACGCACACACAAACATATATGCATCTGATGAGTATGAACGTGTCAAGTGTAGAGTGTAAAGTGCGCTGAAAAAATGGTCACAATCATGAAAAATGTCTTCCTTAATGCATATAGATAACGATATGTGTTACATATTCATATTTATATATACATATATAAATAAATATATACATATTACATATATATATAGTACATGCTAACATGATATACCTAAATATACTCGTATACCTATACTATACTATATATATATATATGTTATAACGCTATTGGTGCACCCTAGCCTACGCTTCAGTTAGTGAATATTAGTCAAAGAGAAGGCGAAATAAGAGAGAATAATGTAAACCAAACATGGATAATTCATATGAATATCGATAACCGACTATCGATTGTCGATTATAGCTTACAAGTTATACCACTGTTGACACTATTATAGAACAAATTAAAAATACCAAAAAGCTGCAATTAAATGCATAGTACATTACAATACATATGAGAGAATTATACATACAATATATCCTAAATAAATATACATATATAATTAAACAAATATATATATTTATCGGGAAATTGCAATGCACTTGAATAGTTCCCTAGGCCACCCAATTGCAAGCGACCTTTAATGAAGAGAACCTGCTTATAGAACAGCTTGTAGCTAATTAATATTAGACGAATTTAATGATAATTATCAAGCCCGTAACGAAAAGCCGTTGTCAGACAGTTTTCGCATAAGTATCGTAAGTACCTATCGGCAATCTCTATGGCAGTCGCTGCCCACTGCGAGCATTGCATTCAGCATTCCCAGTTAGACAACCAATCTGCATTGCAGCCTCCGATATCTGCATATATGTAAATCTAACCGCTTTAACGATTCGATTATTGTTTATGTCCCTTTTACTTTGTCATTGTGCTCTCGGGGCAGCACAGCACGAGGCGCAGCTACAATGTAAAGTACCGTTAAACGAAAATGAATAAAAAAGAAAACAAGTCTAGAAAACCGCAGCTAGATCAATACTGTTAAGGAGGAAGCTACCTAGTCGAAACCTATGTTAAATAATAGAAAAGAGAAAAACAAAAAAAAAAAAAAAAACAAAAAATTGAAATGGAAATAGAAAATAAAATAAATGGAAAAAGTACATAAAATATGCATGAGGAATATCAAATAAGTTGAGGAATTCAAGTTAAGCCTAGCGACAGCAAACTAAACGGAACACAATATAGAATATAGATAAATATGCTATGGTATGTAGTACTTAAGTAAGAGATAGATGTATTACTATGCCAAGGGCTTCACACAGGACTATGTGAGCGGCAGACCGGGAGGCAACCAGGTGGTAGTCGTGGCATGTTTATAATGAATAATGAAAAAGCATTGTAAAAGAAAAACACAAAAACAAACTACAAACAACAAATTAATAATAATAAAAAAAAAAGTATGGAAAATAATAATAAATGCGCAAATGATTTGGATGAAGCTGAAGTAAGTTGAGAAAAAGTAAGTATCAATCGAAATGGAAATACAGTTATGAATACCCTTCACAAAGGAAAAGAGGTATTATTATTATTATTGATCAGCCTTGAGCTTGAAATGAATAAACGTGGAGTCACGTCTTTAACTTTTCGTTTGTCATCAAAGTTATTATATTTTATGCAAATTTTCGATATCTTGAGTTGAGTGATATTTCCAGTTATTTTTTTTTTTTATCAAGCTGTCAGCTTCTTTTGCCGTGCACTTCATTATTGACCTCCAAAAAGCCATACAGCGATCAAAACTGTGACACAATTGAGCCAAGCCAAAGGCGAACAATGGCCAAATGTTGAAAGGCACCAAAATACAACAAAATCAAAAAGAAAAGAAAAGAAAAGAAAAGAACAGAGCAGAACAGCAAAGAATAGAGGAGAGTAGCAAGAAAACAATTGAAGCGGCAGTTTGTTGAGAATAACCACAACAAAAGATACAACAGCAACAACAATGCCCACAAACAACGACAGCAGAAAACACAAAATGCACACAAAGCCTGCCTAGCTGCCTGGGCGCTGACTTGGCCAAGATGGAACAAAAGATGAGCCGAAGACAATGGCTGCTGCTATGCTCAAGGCGAGTCTTAAGCTCAAGTGCTCACACTCAACCAGCACAAACACATAAACACACGCACACAGATAGTCACACACAAACACACACACACACATTCAACTACACACACTCGTGAGATGGAAAGGTCAATCATTGGAATGCTGCCAGTTAATTCACATACACAAAAGGGGCGCCAAGCCAACAGAGATTGGAACTGGCTACGGGGCATGGCGGAGGCCCACAAAAACAGTTGCCAATTCGACCCTGAATGCTTGGACACGCCCACTTTGCCAGCTCTGGCTGGGTGGCTGAGCTTAGCATTTATACTTCCACTTAATTAGGTAATAAATGATTGAAGAAATTATGTCTAGACGTGAGAGCAATTTCGATGGCACGAAGGACGCCAAGAACCAGGCCAAGCGAACCAAACAGCAAAAGAACTTGACAAGCAGCCAATTCATTTGGCACGTGAGGCGTCAAAGTATTACAAATATGAAAACAGACAGGCACACAGAGAGGCACACACATACATAGCTTGTGTGTGTGTGTGTGTGCTTTGCCAAAATTTTCGTCTCACAATGAGCAGAGGGAAATTCGAATTTAAATCTCTTCTTTCAGCGTGTTCTTTGGCAAATGCTTAGCAAATAATTCGATTGGCAACAAAAGCTGTTAAAATTGTAAACAAATTTTCTGGGGCCTACCACACAGCTCGTTGATGCATGTGTATGAGTGCGAGTGCGAGTGTGGGTGGATGAATGAGTGTGTGGTCTCTGTGGTACGTGAATGTCAAATTAATGAATCGCAATGAATGCGACGTGTATTCGTATTTTATTTTTCCCGTTGCCAGTTTATTATTGCGTCGATGTCGTTGGCATAGGCAGCGCCATGTGTCACAGCCATCAGTGTGTGAGTGTGTATGAGTGCGTATTGTTGCTGTGCCTGAATTGAGGTTGAGCACGAGGCCGCCGTAGCGCACGCACATTTATCTGCCTGCCATGATTACGTGTTTGCCATTTTATCACTAAAACTGTTGCGCTTCTCTGGATGCTCTCTGTGCAGCCTGCCTCCTGTTCCATGCCACATGCCACATGCCTGCTACTTACCTTACCATACACACACGTATACACACACACTTCAGTGTAATGGCAACTTTTGTCTGGCGTCCGTTTATCTGTCTGTTGGCTTTGTTTGGTTTCTGTTGCTGCTGCTCAGTGCTTTGTTCTGCTTGGAATTGCCTTTTATTTTCTGTTAATTGAAGTTGCTGCCATCACATTTTTCTTCCTTTTCCCCCTCCACACACACGTGCAGGCATAAAGTAGCAGGCGGTTTGTGTGTGTGTGTGTGTGTGGGTTGATTTTTTTTTTTTTTTTTTGCTTTTATTGCCGCATCTACTTTTTCCCTGTTTTTGCAATTTTAATTAAAAACGTGTTTATAACAGCGCAAAATGCTGATGAGTGAGCAGAATAATTTATTTCAAATATACAAAATAAAATGCCAGACTAATACAAACAGCAATGCGAGAATGTGTGCGTATGCGTGTGGGTGTGAGAAACAGAAAGAGAGAGAGAGAGAGAGAGGGAGAGAGTTGGAAGCGAGGCAATTAATGGCCATATTCATGCCAAGCATTTGTAGCCGTTTATTAAGTTAACTTTTTTATGGCTTATCGCAAATATCGACTTGCAACACTTTATTAATTGCGATTTCAAGCTGGCAGCCCGAAAGTATGCAACATCTTTCAGCGCCTGCTGAGCGAGAGCGAACGTATCCTTTCGAGTGGCCCATGCTGAGGCACATTTATCCATTAGAAATTCCTTTGCATAACACTGAGGGAATCTATATTGCCATGCAACCACAGTGGCACTGCGGAATATGCGCTGCAGCACAAAGAATTCAATTCAATTGAAATTCAAATTCAAATGCGCATTGCCAGCACGCCAAGCCATCGCAGGAGGCAACGGCTGCACTGGCAGCATCCATTATTTGTCGATTTTACACATGGCCGTGGAAGGAGGGCAGAAAAGCAAAAGGTTCCTTAAGCAGCGACTCTGAGCGAGAGACATGGCTGTGCTGCCAGCGTAGGTATGTCGGAGCTAAGAATCGAAGGGCCTACACGTTTGCAAAGATGCAACTGTTGGCCAATGAACAACGGGCCATTGCCGATAACTTGGCTCGGGCCGCGCCCCAAAGTGTGAGCTGTGCAATATTCAATTGCAACGAATATTACAACGCCATTTGCCAAGCTCAGCACCTTTGGCCAAAACACGACCCAGACATGGGCGAGCGAAGCAAACAAAGCAGTGGAGCAGCAACTGCAAGGCAGGCGCCAGCAGCTGGAAGCTGAGAGCTGTGAGCCGAGAGCTGGAAGCCAAGAGCCAGCCATGCATCATTTGCATAGCCCCATGGGCCGGGCTGGCTGCCTGAACAAAGCTGCGAAGCAAGTCTCTGGACATGCAGACAATATAGACAGACAGCCGTTCGATGCGCTCAAGTGTAGAAAGGCTACAAAAAAAAAAAAAAAAAAGAAACACACACACACACATACACACAAAGTAGATGGAAAAGGGGGCTTGGGTAACCGGTAACAGCAACAAAGGGATAAAACGAAAAAAAAAATGAGAAACAAAAATAGCTAAGGAGCCAAATACTTGAACATTTGCAAACGCGGCAAAGTAGCGAAAATTTGCAAATTGATTGCATTCCAGTGCCAAGAAGAGCCGCTGCAGCAGTGGAGGCCAACACCCCGCCGTGATATAAAATCTTCGAGTGCAAATTTTGCACATTCTTGTTGGCAACTTTGGGAATTTCTCAAAATGTTCGCTTTCGAGGCGCTGCCAATCGAAAAGTCGCTCCAAGGCTCACTCTCCATGCCACTCATATCCGACGCTCAAGCATATTCAATTAATGTCAAAAGAAGCGCGCCTGCCCATCCTCCCGGTAATCAAATTATTCAAATCTGGCGCGCAATTAGGAGAGTGAATCGCGTAGCAGCTTTAAGTCAATTTGTGATGCATGACAGCAAAAAAAAAAAAAAAAATAATAATAATAAAAAAAAGGAAAAAAGGAAAAAATCAGAAACAACGACGACGTGCGTCTCGATGTCAACGTCAAATGATTTGATCATGTTTTGTGCATCATTTGCGAGCTCATAAAACATGCAAGCACTCTGTCGCAGTTGGTTGCCCATCATGCCGGAAAAAGAAGACCCGAATGCCGGACAACGAATGGAATGTGAGCGCAAGCGGGGGAGATAAGGAGCCCTGTTGGCCAGCAAGATGACACCTAGTGCAGAAACATGCCTAATAAATAATTCAGTGCGCAACAAGCGGACAACAAGCCCACTTGCGGTGCCAAACCACCCGTCCAGCCATCCAGCCGTCCTCCCGGCAGCCACTCAGGCCAGCTGCTGTGGCCATCAACCACTGGCCGTGCGGCTCTGACAGCCATGCGTCCTGCGAGTCCTGTGCTCCTCAATATTAAGAGCAGATTGAAATCTATTCAGATGTGTCGGCCCAAGTGCTGCCTGTGGGTATTCGAGCGTGTCCTTGATTTCAGTTAACGTATGTCCATCTGTCTGCAGCTCGACGTATGCGGCTCATTTGTTCGCCGGCGTGTGCTGAGGATTTTCTCTAATTCAAAAGAGCGATACTCCGATGGTGCTTCGCAAGTCTCTCTGGATCATTTTGGCAACATTTTCTACCACACAACACGAAACGCACAATAAAACGAAAAACAATGCAATAATCAAAGAACACGAGAATCAATAACTGCGACAAGCAAAAGCTTTTAGCCGGCCAAAATTGATGAATGCGACGAGAACGTCGAAAGTTATGCTCCAAGCCATGTTCAAAATCAAGTAGAATAGACATACAGGTAGAAATAAATACCATTTTATTAAATAATGTACCTGCCGAGGTCCGCCTGTTGTGCCTTAATACACTGAATCATATATTATACACACATACATATATAATACATATTTTATGCGGAATGAAAATTATTTTGTTGGTTGATGCAGAAGTCGAGCGGTGAAAAATGAGGTAGCAAAAAATCATTTAGCATAATGATTAAAATAAATCATATTATAAAGCATTTTTTGGCGCCAGAGCAAACGGTGCGAGCGGCATAGAAACGGGCAGACATATGCAAGAGCTGGCATTACGTATACGTATACGTATACGTGTACGTATATGGATAGGAATACGTATACGCCACGTAGCCGGCCACGTTGAGCACAAACAAATGCAAACAGACAAACAAAAATGATTTATAAATTGGCACGACGTGCATAAAATGCTGAGCACAAAAAATTTCCACTGCATACGTA